AAAAGTTGGCATCTAGACCTTCCCCAAATTTTATCATTTTTAGTCTTATATTTTTAAAACCTCTTATGATTCAATAACTGGTCAAAAGGTCTTTTCCATGTTATTTTTACATTACATCTCTGTTGTTATTCAGTTTTATATAAGGAAATAGTTTTGTGCTTAAGATTTCCATTTGTAGAGTTGTTATATTAATATAATATGTTTAGGGTGATTTTTAAGTGTGCCCTACTATGTTCTTTAATAAACAGGACCTCCTAAATGTTTTTTATTTAGGTTAATTTGAAGTTCCATATTTAAAGGTAAAACCCATTATGATGATGGTGTACTCACAGAAATATTGCCTATTGTTTATATAGGTAATAGTTTTATAGTTAAAACTCTGAATTTTATATTAGTACCCAAATATATCTTTGGTTTTTACAATGCTTGAAAAAAATAGGCATTTTATAAACACCTTACTTGTTAAGGAAATTAAAGTATGAGAAAGTTAGAAATAGCTGCTATGTCTAGAGATAGTTGTGAAAAAATTTATTTTTAAAATCAAAATAATGGTGAAATAAACAGAGTGGTCCTAATCATAGAAATGAAATAATGGCGATTATTTCTTTTAATTAGGTATGTTTTTAAATTATCATCTCTCAGTAAATGCTTAAGCCTCACTAAATAACTTCATTTGCAAAATAATAGGTTGTTTGAAACTGCCTATATGCAGAGAAAAGTATAAAAGATCAAGTGTCTGATTTTTCTAGTTCCATTCATAGCTGTTGTTCCATAAGTACTTATTTTTGGTTCAATTAAGGGATCTTATTATTGGCATTATTTAAATATGAAAATATTTCCATACATTAAATGAATTTGAAAACAAATCATTTCAGGTAATTATTTCTGTTACTGCTTTTATATGGAGGCTCTCAAAAAGTTTTTCATATAGTAAACTGGAAATCTGTAGACTACTTGTATTTAATTATAATATGAATAATTATTTTGTCTATTATCTTAATTAGACTAAAGTTAGGAGACGACTTTATCTTTTTTTGTTTTGTCCTAGGTGTTCTTGATCCAAATTTTATTATATCCAAAGAATGTTTTTATCAATAGTATATTATATTAAGTACTTTTTTAGAGAAATGAAGAGTTTACAAAAAAAAGAAATGAAAGGTCATACTCTTAGTATTTTAAAGGAAAGAGGTCTCACATTTCTTTAAGCTTCGGAATAACTTTTAACAATCTCTCCACATTCCTACTCTGTTTATTGACCTTCATTGGTGTTATCTTAAGATAGACTTAATTGAATGAAATTCTATATTTATAGTCTTTAATGGTAATTTAAATTATTGATAGATATACAAGCTCTTTAAGATTTAACACAAAATTGAAAGATGGAAACAATTTAAATGGATTTGTTTCAGAGTACCATTTTAGAAATCATTTGGCAGTCTTAGCAACATCACTATTATATGAGTATATGCTAATGTAGGATGGGAGAAAAATCCTCATTAAAATCTTGTCGCTAAACAAGTGACAGAAACTTTATAAACAGCTTGAGGCTTCAGGTTAGTCATAGTTACTCCAGAAGAGATTTGGACAAGTGTGAAAATATTTAGACTATGTCTTTGTTGTGATCGGAATACATAAATGCTATCTTCCATCAGTTCCCTACCGAGAACATTTTTATTCATATTAGAGAAAACATATCTTAAAACAATGCAGTGCCTAAGCATTCTTTTGGGAATTTCTCAAGTCAGTAAAAGTATAGGGTTTGTTAAATTCAGAAAGTAGACTTTTGAAAATACCCATTGTATTTTTGTTTTCCAGAAAAGGACAGGGGTTTGGTCAACTAGCACAGCAGTCTCCAACCTTTTTGGCACCAGGGACTGGTTTTATAGAAGACAATTTTTCCAGGAACAAGGGTAGGGGGATGGTTTGGGGATGAGTCAAGCACATTACATTTATTGTGTACTTTATTTCTATTATTATTATTACATTGTCAGTTGCCACTCGCTGATAGGGTTTTGATATGAGTCTGCAAGCAATTGATTTATTATGGTCTCAGTGCAGTCAAACCTCTCTGCTAATGATAATCTATACTTGCAGCCACTCCCCAGCGCTAGCATCACTGTCTCAGCTCCACCTCAGATCGTCAGGCATTAGATTCTCATAAGGAGTGCACAACCTAGATCCCTCACATGTATAGTTTACAGTAAGGTTCACGCTTCTATGGGAATTTAATGCCACTGCTGATCGGACAGGAGGTGGAGCCCAGGTGGTGATGTGACTGATGGGGAGTGGCTGTAAATACAGATGAAACTTTGCTTGTTCACCCACCACTTACTCCTACTGTGTGGCCCAGTTGCTAACAGGCCACAGACTGGTACCAGTCTGCAGCCTGGGGGTTGGGGACTGCAGATAGGCAAAATTCATGATCTACTGATCTTTCTTCTAAAAGTTACCTAGGTGAACTAGTCTGGTGTAGGTACAGTGAGATGACAGAAAGGGTAAGGTGGTACAGGGGAATTTATCACTCCTTATTGAACATGCCAATTCTCTTAAAGAAGCTTTTTGCCAGATTTAGTCAATTTTGGATTAACTTTATGTACATATTCCAATTCGGGATTGCCCATGTCTTAATTTTTAGTTGGGATAATCTTTGCTCACATAAAGGTAGATCTTAGCATCATGCTATAAGTAAAAAAATTAACATGTAGGAATAGATTGACTTTCCAGCGTGAAAGTTAATGGATTTTTTGATAGCCACAGAGCCTCCCTTCAGCATCTCCACTGATAATGAGTGGGCTGTAAGTCTGTTTTGTCTTTTGAGTTGTAGGGATCCTTAGTCAAAGTGCATAAGGAATTTCTCTTGGTTTGATTTGGCCTATGTGCCCAGCTCATTGGAACAAGAACATTTGTAGTTGGAATAAAGAAGATACCTGATTACATTCAGAGTCTAACAGGCCAAAGTGGGAACAAGAGAGCAAATGGTGGGAATACCGAGACTAGTGAACAAGAAGCTAAAGGAAGCTAATCCTGTGTGTCTTTGAAGGGGAATATCACATGTCACTCAATGTCATATGATCATATACAATAAATTATTTGAATTAAAGTTACTTCTTGCATCCTTTTTTCTTGTTCCTATTCTACCGGTTTTTTTTTTTTTCAAATTATGACTGTGGTGCAATGGGTGGATAAAAATATCTATGCTTGTCCCAGCAAAGCCCCCCAATGAGTTTCTTACGCATTTAACAAATCTCAGTCATATTTGCTTGCTCCTGGTTTAAAAATATTTTTGTTACATATTATAGGTATGTATCTTCATGAAGACTCCTGAAATTATCTGCTTGCTTTAAGATAATTATAAATAATTTATATTCCTCAATAACTGGAAGGATAACACATAGCTCAAGAAAAGGGGGGGATCTTGATAATTTTGTATTTAAAAAGTTATAAAAGATATAAAGAAAATATAATTTTTTACCTATAGGTTCTTTGTGAGGATGATGTCATATTTTAAGATCTGACAGGGAAATAGTTGGTTACTTATAGTAGATTAGAAGTGGCAGGGCCTGGAACTAGAGCAGCCAGTGGTTAGAAGGAAGGACCGAAATAGTTTAGGAGAGTAGCTGCAAAAGGTGAGGAAGAAAGGATATTGTCCTATGGAAGGGAGAGGTAGCACTGAGTCTGACCCAATGCAAACACAAGACAGAGTAACAAGTGGCCCTGCTGTGGATAGAATGTGGCACTAGGCTTTTCTGGGTTGGTGGTCCTGAGACAGCAGTATAACAAAGGGACCAGTACAATTTAAAATGGAAATTTAATAGAAAGCCATCTAAAATTTCTGGGGCAACTAGAGCTGATGGGAATGAGATGGGGGTCCTGTTTTTAGAAGTTCATGCGCCATGGCAGGATTGTATAAAAGAAAGAGAGGGGCTGGGCATGGTGGCTTATGCCTGTAATCCCAACACTTTGGGAGGATGAAGCTGGACGATTGCTTGAGCCCAAGAGGTCAAGACCAGCCTGGCCAACATAGTGAGACATCGTCTCTACAAAAAAGTAGAAAAATTAGTTGGGTATGCATACCTGTAGTGCCAGCTACTCGGGAGGCTGAGGCAGGAGGATCACTTGAGCCCAAGAGTTTGAGGGTGCTGTGAGTCACGCTGTTGCACTCCAGTCTAGGTGACAGAGTGAGACCCTGTCTCTAAGAAAAAAATGGGTAGGGATGCCTTGATGCCATCAGGTGGGGACCCACTAGCTTTGCCATGTACTGAGGAGAAACACAGAGACTGGACACCAGGTACTGATGTCTGGAAACAATTCCCCTTTGACTCTTATTTATTGCCCCTAGAATATATAGTCATGCATTGTACAATGACTTTTAGGTAAATAACAGACCACATATAAGACAGTGGTCTCATCAGATTACAACATCATATTTTACTGTACCTTTTCTGTGTTTAAATATGTTTAGATACACAAATACCATTGTGTTACAGTTGCCTACAATATTCAGTACAGTGACCTGCTGTACAGGTTTGGAGCCTCAGAACAACAGACTATACCATACAGCCTGTTTGTGTAGTAGTCTATACCATATAGTTTCGTGTAAGTACACTCTATGATGTTTGCACAATGACAAGATCACCTAATGATGCATTCCTCCGAATGTATCCCTGTCATTAAGCAGAGCGCGACTATACTGTCTTTCTCTATTAGTAACCCTACTCGGTCTCTACATCTTGTTTATCTCTGTGAAGCCTCCGCACCCTTTATCTCAGAAGAAATCCTCTTTCCCTCCTTAGATCTTTTATTTATGCACAGTGAACAACATTCATCTTATTCTGCCTTTTACTAGTGTACATGTCTTTTGTTGAGCATTACTGTGTGCCAAGCACAATCTAGTTAATAGATGATAAATGAAGAAATATTTTTAGAGCTGTTAAGAATTATATTCATGTAATTCATGTAATTACAAGTCATTTTTTTTCCTTCTAAACATTTTATTTCAGATTTTACCGAATGTTGCAAGAACTCTGGACTCCTTATGGTAGTAAAATGCCGAAAAGAAAACTCTGCATTGAAAGAATGTCTAACTACTTAGTAAGTAGTAACCTCAGTGTTTGTACTGTGTGTGTGTGTGTGTGTGTGTGTAGTAGGTAAAAGAATGTTATTTAACTCATTATATGTAATGTATTCTGTACCTACCATACCAGATTTGTCATATTGTTGGCTGAGTCTAAAGTTCAGTATGTTGAAGATTATTCTTTGAAAAGCAACAATGCTTGAGGAAGCATTGTTTCCTCTATGAAAGTCTTTCCAAGTTATGTTTGTCAGCAGTGTATTTGATTAAGAAGATGAAGTCAGCAAAGAAACATATATGATTTTTTTTTCACATGATTTAATAAATCCTTTTTGATGAACAGGGGTTGATCTATATATAGAATATAGTATGGACTGATTTTTGTCTATCTCTTCTAATGGAAAGATAACCAAATTAGAAGATCTCTAAGACCTTTTCCAGCCTTGTGATTTGTTGGATTAGTATAATTCCTAGGAAATTTATAGTAAATCATATGAATGATATAAAAGTAAATTTATAGTTTTGAAGTTAATCAAATTAATTTGAAAAAAATTCTTAAATATCACATTCACTAATATTTTGTTGTAGTTCCTTAAATCTTTAATTAAAAATATGTGAAGTTCTTTGAAGTCATGTGCTTTCTATCTTATCTGCCCATGTTTTATTACCCACATTATTGACAGCTAATATTGCAGAATACTTTAGTGAGTATAGTTAACTGATAGTTGGAGACCTTAGTTTTGCTAAGCCCTGTTTCCTTTAATACTGTACACCTCTAGCCTGTGAAGTATATATGTCAGTGTGGAATGACATTTCCTTGGGTATTAAATAAAAATGCAGGTAATGATTACCTGAATCCTATGTGGGTGTTTTTTTTTCTTAAATAACATTTGTACATAAATTTATAGACTTTTTTTAGAATGCTGGAGTTGAAAGAGACTTTAGAGATTATCTGAATTCATCTCTACATTTATAGATGAGGAAACTCACACGCAAAGTTCATGTTTTTCCTCAAGTTACTAATATCAACATCAGCCCTTATTATTGTCCAGGAACCATACTCAGTGCTTTACCACAGAGGAGGGAAAGTTTATGCTTTGACTTACTCTTCTTCCACTTTGTTCTCTGGTGCTTGCAAAAGGTATTTAATGAGTAAATGAATCTTTCAAAGTATTGTGTGACTGAGTTGTTAAAATCTGTTTTATATATTGAATAAAGAATTTTTATAACTCAATTCAGTCATCATAATTAATTATAATTCCTATTTTGATCCTTCCCCCCAGAGGAGGCAGCTCTAGAGCAGAGCAGACAGGAGTACAGACTGCAGAGAAGGCAGCCTGGGCTCACTTACTGCACCAGTGAGAGCTTAGCTGGCCATGTGGCCTTAGGCAGGTTCCTCACTGTAAGGAAGGATAATTAAACCTCATGGAGTGATTGTGAGGCACCGTATGTAAACACATATACTATGGTGCCTGGCACAAAGTATTCAGAATATGTTAGCTCTTTTTTGATTTGTGTTTATTATTATTTGTTATCTGAATGTTAATCATTTGAAGATCCTTCTATCTCCCACCCTTTAGAAATACAAGGAAAAAATAACAGGTTCTAGTCCATTCTGGGAAAAGGGTTGGGAAGGGTGGGAGGAGGCTGCTTCTGTTTGTTGAGAAGAGAGATAAGCAGTGAAAGAAACTAAGAGGGATGTGACATTTGCTAAAAGTAAATGAAAAGCTATCAAGGAAAATTTTGCTTGACCTGAAGTCCTAAAATATGCTAAGAAATAGTTTTTTTTATCTTTAAATAAGAAAATGCTCTGCTTTGTTAATTATTATTGATATTCCATGAAATGAATGTAACCATTATCCTCTTATCTTGAAATATGGTTTGTGCTCCTTTATTTTTATCTCTCACCTTCATTCATTCCTCAGTACACTGTGACTAGATTTCTGCCCTGACTCCACTGAAACTGCTCTTCCTAAAGGTTCTGATGGGCTCATGGTAGCCAAGTCCAACAGGTAGTTCTTAGTTGGCCCCTGACAATCCCTTCTTAAAAATCTCTATTTGGCCTCCCTGATAACACTCTTTCCCATTTCCCCAACATCTCTCTTTACTTTTTCTTAAATAAGCCTTTTGCACTCCTACCTCTGTCCTTCTTTTCAGCCCTTTCTTCCTTAACCACTTCGGTACAAGCGTCGACTATAGTCAATAGCCACAGATGAACACGTACAGCGACTTTAGCAGACAGCTGTGATAGGACGTACAGCGACTTTAGCAGACAGCTGTGATAGGAAAGCGCACAGCCGAGCGTCAATTTTAGCCGACAGCCGTGAAATGACTTTTCTAATTTTTCATTTATCAAAATAAAATTGTGAACATTTAAAACTAACATAATGAAAACATATGTATATGTTACCTATTCTGATTTACATTACAAGTAAAGCTGCCTGTAAAGTAAAACAAGCTTTCAGTGCTTTAAAGCTTTCCTCATCACACAAGAGCAAAAGGGATGTGTTGTCAATGCACAGCACAAACTATCATGCAGACTATGAGTGCTGGCTGTGGGCAAGGTTTTGCGGCTGGGGAGTGCTGTACCGAAGTGGTTAATCTACTCCTTAAAGTTGGTGTTTCCCTGGGTTCTCTTCTTATTCTTGAATCCGAGAAAGTTCAGTTTGCACCTGTGGATTCAATTACTTTCTATAAAAAATGACATTTCTGTATCTTTCTTCAAGTCCAAAACAGAACTCAGCTCATTTTGCTCTTCATCATGTCTGTGAATTATGCAGTTGTCTAGACTCTGGAGTCTTGTCTACTAACTCTAATTGGTTAGTTTCCATCGATTTCCTAAATCTCCCCATATCCATTTCTTCCTTTTCATTCCTATGGCTCCTTCTTTGACCTAGGCCCTCATCATTTTTTTGCCTGCATTATTTTAATAGTTGGACATCTTGCCTCTAACCTTGCCTGCCCTCTTTCATCCTATCTGCCACATGCTGTCACATTCATCCAAGACACAAAACTGATTTTACAGTTGCTCTATTGTGTCCCAGTGCCTTCAGGATAGAATTTAATTTCTTAGTATGGCATAAATGGCCAATTTGGCTTTTGCCCATTCCATCTTCATCGTAGGCCCTGTATCCTCTGTGTGTAATCTGCTATAGTGATACTAATCTACTTGCAGTTCTTCCTGCATCACAGTTTTTCATCTATGTGCCTGTCCACATGTGCCTTCTATGTGGATTTCTTTTGGTTCAAACTGCAATTCAAACATTTCTCCTTGATATCTCTGCCTTCCCTATTTCTTCCACAGTTCCATGGTTTATTGGGCAATACATCTATCATAGCACTTTGTATACTTAATTGTAATCCAGTCTTTACTGGTCTGCCCCATAACACCATGGGTTCCTTGAGGATAGGAGCTGTTCATTGCTGTCTTGTGATGGTGCTATGTAAAAATGGATCACAGGGTCTTTAGTTTAGTAGCATGTTTATAGTGAATGTGACCATTAATAAAAGTCTGCTTCTAAAGATTGAGCCTGATGAACTAGATGTCTGAATATTATTAAATTAAGCTTATATTAAATGCTTACAAAGTTATTAAATTTAAAATATTTTCATTTTCTTCTTGTAGCTATAATGATCCAGTCTTTTACGAAGAATGCAAAATGGAATACTTGAAGGAAAGGGAAGAATTTAGAAAAACTGGAATTCCTACCAAGAAAAGGCTACAGAAGCTTCCCACGAGCATGTAGGCAAATATTCCAGTGATACTCAGGAACTCTAATATTTATGGAAGTCATTCATAGTATAAATCAATGGAAATAAATAAATCAGCACTCAAGAATGTGTGTTTGCTTCATCCTAATTATGGAATATTAATTTTACCTGAAATAAAGATTTTTTTATTTCAAAGTGTTTATTGAATGGAATAAATACTGTAATGGGATATGGTTTCCCTGGTCATTCTGGATTTTTTGTTTCTCTAGAACTATAGTTCTATAGTAGTGATACTGATTTCTAGAGTTCCATCCAATTACTTTCTTATATTGAATGAATCTTATATTATGAATCTTATATTACCTTCATCCAATGTATAATATGCTAATGGCTAATCATGGGGGCCAAAAGTATAAAGAAATGTAGGAATAGATAACCTTCAAAGGTATTAATAATAATTAGGCACTATAGCTGAATGGCTATGAACCAGAATCCTTCATGGTTCTATCACTTATTAGCTAGGCAACTACGAAGTAAATCTCAGTTATTGTGAGGATTTACTGAGAGACAGTGCCTTGAGACATCGTAAATGCTCTTTAATTGGTAGTTGCTGTTATTAGTAAGTAAAGGCTTATTTGGAAACTGTCTCAGTCCATTTTCTGCTGCTATAACAATACCTGAAACTAAGTAATTTATAAAGAAAAGAAGTTTATTTGGCTCATAGTTCTGGAGGCTGGGAAGTGTAAGGGCATGGGCAGCAGCTTTAGGCAAGGGCTTTAGTACCACATCAAACCATGGCAGAAAAACAGAAGGGGAAGCAAGTGTATGCTAAAGAGTCCACAGGAGTGAGCTGAGCTTGCTTTTATTAATGCACTCTCTAGAGAACTAACTTACATTCACAATAATGGCATTAATGGCAGAGCCCTCATGACCCAATCACCTCTTAAAGGCCCTACCTCTTAATAGTGTTACACTGGCAATTAAGTTTCTTACAAACTTTTAGGGGACACATGGACACATCAAACCATAGCAGAAACATAAGGAGGTAAGTACTTATATGAATTAACTTAACTTACATCTTTGATGGAAAGTTTTCTAGAATGTATTATATGTTCTGTTAACATGGCTACTGAAAGTACTTTAATCTTTCATTTTAAAAAGGCATCTTTATAAGTGTGATTTACTATTTTATAATATAGTAATGGACTCAGGAGGTAGTATAAAAAATTTCTGTCCCAATGGAAGGAATTGAGCTTTTATGTTAATAGTTGTTCTTTTTTCCCCCATGAGCTATTATTAACTCTTCCACAGCCATTGTAACCAGTTTCCAGGTAAGTAAATTTCATGTGTATTTTCATACAGTCCTCATTAAAATCACAAATAGAAATTACTACCCACTAAGATAAGATTTAACTTTGGCCCTAATCCCATGAAATAGATCTGAGAGATTTTTCTTTTTTGAAAAGGGCTTAGTTAAATATGACCCTAAAGAATCAATGGACGTTCAAGTTCTACACCAAAGAATTATTTTACCCTTATCTGAAATACAAAGAAACCACATTTTTCTAGGCCACAGATCAAAAGGGAGGGATATTACTAGAGCGGACAAAAACAAGACAAATAGAGAAATCTAGAGGCCACACAGCATAGAGGCAAACAAGCCTTTATTTCTCTGTTGGCCTTTTGGTATTGGTGCATTTCCTTAGAGCATGGGACCTGAATTCTTTTTAAGAAGCTAGTGAAATATATACAATCTGTGACTTTCATTTATAATTTTGATTGAAATCAAAAGTAGCCAACTTCATGTGGAAAATTCCCTTATATAGATGTTACTCTCCCCACAGATTCTAGACAAATTACACATCATAAAAAATATATTCATCCAGCTGGGCACAGTGGCTCTTTCCTGTAATCCTAACACTTTGGGAAGCCAAGGTGGGGGGTGGATTACGTGAGAGGGATCACTGGAGATTAGGAGTTCAAGACCAGCCTGAGCAACATGAGACCCATCTCTACAAAAAAATAGAAAAATTAGCCAGGTGTGGTAACATGTACCTATAGTCCCAGCTACTCAGGAGGCTGACCCAGGAGGACTGCTTGAGCCCAGGAATTTGAGCTTGCAGTGAGCTGAGATGATGCCATTACACTCTAGCCTGGGTGACAAGAGTGAGACCTTTTCTCAAAAAAAAAAAAAAAAAATTCTATATATGTCGAAAACTAAACCATTCATCATAGACTTCAGAATACCCATGCCTATTCTCATTCAAGACTACTCCATGTGGAACATCTGCTTGTATTTTGCTTGTTCACTGGTACCTCTGCTTATATTATTCCACTTTTAAATGACAATTCAAGAGATTTTTTTTTATCCCTTAAGATTTTACTTTCTCAAGTAGCCTTTCAGAATAGGGTCATTAATTGATTTTTACATGATTTAATTCTTTAGTTCTTTCAGTCTCAATTTTCCCCCTATTTATTTTGGTTTTCTAATGTTTCACATAGGAATGTTCCTGCCCTTATGAATTCAGTTCCATTTGACAGCAACTCAATAAAAGAATCTTCTTAGAGATGTAAATTTTACTTACATTAATATGGGGGCAAGAGGAATACGTGGCTTCGTTGTTTGTGTTCTGTTGAGTTATGGATGTAGTGAATTATGTTATCTTATAAAAAGAAATCTAAAGATTAAAAAAAATTTCAAGGAAAGCACTTTGAACCAAGTTTCAGCTAGTATGAAAGAGATCAATATAAAATTTTCAATTTTAAATAGACTATAAGCTACACATAGACCACCCTCATTATTTTGAGTATTACCTTGCACAGAGATGATCAAGTATACATTTTAAAAACTGGCTGGGTAAAAAAAATTCTTGATTAATCTTTCCTTATTTAAGAGGTTTATACATAATTTATCTAGCACTTTAAACCGTCAAGAACATCTACCACTGACTTTCTAGGATACCCATTTGATAGCTATTATCACTGTATAGTTTAGATGAAAAAGAAAATTCCACTCAAAGGAAGTTGGTTTAACAACACAAATGTCTGTTATATGAATCAAATTAACAACCAACAATTAGTACAGACCTTGGAATATATAGGCAAGGACAGTATTTCATATTCATTTTCAATTTCAAAAAATAATTTATTTTAAACAATTTTTTATCATCGTTTAAAACCTTAATCAAGCCATTATCTAATAAGACTTGGTTTTAAAAAAGGCAAACTAGTGAGCTATATTAGAGATTATATGTAATATACAGCCTATGCAGCCACATGAGAAATAGTTTTTGCTGCTTTGTTATTACACAGGTAGTTGCTTCCTTCAGCTAAAGCCTGGAGTCTTGTATTTGTTTTATGCATATTGGGTTTTGTTCTATTACTTGGCAGGAGACTGTACTCCCTGGAGTCAGCTGTGTTCACTGGTCAGAATAAATTCCAGCATCTGATACCAATTCTGTTAATCACAGACAAGCTTGAATAAGATAATAGAAAGACAAAAATATCTGGTGAATGGTGAACATTGTCTATGTATGTATGCTATTCGGTAGTATGGTAGAAGAGATTTGAGATATTCTTTTGAGTTCAAGATATATGAAACTGTCTATCAAAAAGGAAGAAGTCCTCTTACATGGAACACTTTGACCCAGGCAAAAGGTATATGAACCAAGTAATACGTTACTAATATTCTTAATACCTCCACCCTGAAAGAATTTAGCTAAATTTAATTATGAAGCCATCTTTGTTATTTCCTTACTTGTTTACAAGTGGTTGGCCACTTAGAGATTTTGGGGACATTTCATGATTGTAGTGTATCAATACAGCGCAAAATTTGATTTCTAGAATTAAAATTCCTAATTAAAAATCACTTTCTCAATACATAAACTATTACATTTCAAAACAAAGTCTAACAATTTATAAACTGCTCTACATAACAAGCAGCTATAGCCCCTTGGAAGAAAATGATTTTATATGGTTATACATTTAGGTTTTCATTATGGACCATTAAAGGGTCAGATTAGACTGAAACCTGTGTGATGCTCTTTCTACTTCTAATTGAGGTGTATAGGGTTATAATCACTTATTTGCACACCACACAGTTTTTCAAATACTTTATCATTTTATTTTCAATTAGGACTTGAGGAATGTAGTGGGACAAAGTTGGCTTCAATGATCAGGTTATTTCAAGTCTTAGAATTCAAATTGCAATTCTAAATTTTATCAACAAACATTGTGACTAAAATATCATTTTAAATCTTGAACTTTGAAACACAATAATATATAGAAATGGTGTAACCTAAGATGCTTTTATTCCATTATAGTATTTTTCATATCTTTATGTGTAAATTCAACAGAAATATAACCTATTCACATTGCCATTTGCTCTATTATGTAATTTGAAGCAACATATGTGGTTTTTCTCCTATATTAATGCATTTGTTTTTATGAATGCCATTTCACATACTTTGTAAAACCATGTCAAAAATTTCAAATTCCATCCTTTATCTGAGAGGTAAAATATTACAATTGTCATTAAAGGTAGAATTGTCTTTTTTAAACACCTTAAGTTTATTTATTAATTAGTATAGTAGCATATATCTGATTCTCAGAATATGGAGCTAGATGGTGCTCTTTCATCCTGGAAAATCAACTACATAATATTGTACAGTATGTTCAAATGTATATACTGAAGAACTCTGCAAAATTTTAACAAAATCCACTTTGTTAAATAATTTCTGAACCACTGAGAAAGATAGTGTCCTCATGATCAAATCATGAATCTCCTCAGAATTAATTTTTAAAAAGGCAGTTTTGATTATGTTGATCCAAGTAATGCAGTGGTGGCAGGTTAGGTAAAGGCAAAGTTTTACTTTTAGTGTCCCCAAATGCTGTCTCACTTGATTTAGGAGGGCTTGGAAAAACCCAGGAATTATCTTCCAGAGAATTTCTGCCATAAGAGTTGTGTTCCTGAAAGTATGTACCATCATTAGGAATGGATCTCTCATTATCTGTCCATGATTGGAGGATTGCTTTCTCTGATAAAACCTTTACATCTGGTAAAGTAGAAGATGTAGTATGACAAACAGCCTTGCCATTTGGTGAGAGAGGGGGATGTCTTGTGTATGTTGCAGTAAAATTCGTCAAGTGCAGTTTTGTGCTGTCTTTCCCAAGGTCTTCAATGCATCCTACTGGGACGCAGGCTAAAAAGAAAGCACAGGCTAAATGTCAGTTTCATGGCATTTATGATCATAAAATACTATAACACTTCACTTATTTGGTTGAATTCTAGAGCTGGTAATGAAATTAACATTTCTAAGTTATTGTGATCACTGAGGCACTATGACTTGGAGATAAATGACAGATGGCCTGAGTTCTAATCCTGGATCAGCTATTTACTGACATTGTGACTTTAGATAAGTCACTTAACTGCTCTAGTTGTCATGTTTCTCATATGCAAAATGGATATAGTAATCTTGTACCACCTATGTCATAGAGCTTTTAAAAGATGAAGAATTGCCTATTTAAAAAAGTTAGAAATCAATAAAGTTAAAATATAAAGATCCTGTTCTTGGCTCTTACTGTGACTAGGAGAAGGCTTGCAGACTGTTTACATGTCAGTGGGGACTGAGACAGCTGTTCTTAAGTTTTAGCATTTTTTAGTTAAATATAATATTCCTTTGCTTAGTCATAGGCAGTCCAAAAGTAAATTTTTTCAGAAATAATTATATTTTAAATTTGTGAGACTCAAATGAAGTTTTAATACATTTCAAAGGCTTTATGGATAAAGCACTTAAATAAAAGTTGTAAAATAATCCTGTTTCTTGAAAAACATATATAAGCAAATGTTAATTCCACTATGGTCACAGTACAGGTCAAGTAAAAAACAAGCGAACAAAAACATGTTTTGTACACATGCAATGGCGTAGAAGAAGATTGCTCTAAAGCTATTATTTAGCCATAGCCAGCACATTGGTAATACAGGTTTCTCTTCTTCCTCCAACCCAATCTACCAGGGTGGAAAGATAAGTTTATCCTCAGCCCAAGAAGGATGGCCAAGTGTAACTAAGGTTTGACTCCACATAGTTTTAGAAGGAACAAACTGAACCACATTATAAATAATCTAATTGCCCTTTGTCTTGGGAGGGTAAATAGGAATGGAGGAGCATTGGAAGTAACAGTTGTTCAAGCTTCTCAAGAAAGGTGATATGTAGGTCAGGAAAAAAGGTGATCTACTCTTATCTCAGGAAAAAAAGGTGATCTAATCTTATCTCTGGGAACCATTTTATAAAATAACATTGCCTTTTTCTTAGAAGAGTGGATAGAGATGGGGAAAATTGGAAAGAAAAGTGTTCAGCTTCTGGACAAAGGTGATACAAAGGTCAGGGAAAAAGGTGACCTAGTCTCATCTCTGTACTGCTCAAAACAATGAGTTCTGTGGTAAGGAGTGGCAACCTCAAGCTTGCCACTGTTCTAGGCAATGTTCCAAAGCACGAAAAGATCTATCATTAACCAGCTAGGAAGAAACACAGGGATGAGCCACTTCCATGTGTGGAAAGAGCATTTCTCCATTATTACTCTTTGGAAGTTATATTTATTATGTAAACAAAGAGCCACCCTGAGAACTCACTATAAAATTACTCTGAGTCCCTTTAAAGAAAAGTCTTATTTCTACTATATACTTATAGTTTCATATATACTCTGACCACTGGAAAATTCAAGGACAAATTTAGGAATCATAAATTGAGGCTTGCTAAAACATAATATTATTTTCCCTGACTTATAAGTAACCAACTCTCCAGACACTGAAAGGAATTCTAAATTCAGTTTTCCCTTCCCATGTGCTACATTTTCCCCTGCTAATAAACACTCCAGAGGAGAACTATTTATGAAACACAATTCTCTTGTGCCTTCTTTAAGACATCTGAGGTGCAAATAACAATTTTAAATTAGATGGTGATTATTTTTTATAAAAAGTCAAATCTCATTTCTTTAAAAAGTAAATTTTAGGGCATTCAAATTTATATTACACAATTTTTCAGAACTACACCTACTATGTAATGCTAGGTACAAATGCACTGATTTTTATAAGGTATAAAAATAGCTTCGGCAAAAGTAGCACTACTAGTTAACACAAAGCTCAAGAGAAGTTCAGTCAAGCAGTTAAATATGAGTCAAAACAACGAACATTTGGTTGAAGGGGATAACGGGAAAACACCTAGTCTCCATTCTAATCTGCCATCCTTTATAAAAAGAAAAATTAAGTTTATAAAAACTGCAAACAACCAAATAATGAATCAAAGTTATTTTTTTGTTTGTTTCAAAACAAAAAGCTAGGTTTTTGGTGTATTCTGTAGCACTGGAATGAAAAATTGTTTTTGGTGTCTTTTTTTATATATATATGAAGTAGTTGTGGCAAAAGGTCAACTAGAGCAAACTTAACACCTCAGCCTTATACACATAAGCAACACTTGGTTGAGAAAAGCCACAAGGGGAAAAGAATACAGTACTGAAGAAAAAAACACATCAGCAACACCTTTATGTGTGAAGTTGACCAGTATGAGACCGAAGCCAAAGCAGAGAATGGGTAGGCTGTGAACATACTATATATACTTTGGCTTATCAAACTCATTTGATGAGATTTTGATAAGATACGATAGCTAGTTGTTCTTCAAGCAGTTTGGCTGGAATCAGTGGTTTCCGGCAAAGAGTGACTTGCCTTTCTTGATTGAAGTTGAGGTTTTCAGTTTTCTTAGTAGTTCAGCTTGTACTTGAGTCACCAGATGCAAATTAGACATTTCTCTCTTCAGTTCCCAGTATGCATGCTGCATATTATCACTGAAATACAGGGTTTAAAAAAAATCATGCTTTTTATGGACAAAAGGAAATAACTTTAAAATAGAAACAAACAGATCAAGATTTCTACTCCAATTAGTTTTAATGTGATGTAAATTAAAACAATTGAAAGATTTAATTAGGATATTATAAATGAAAAGATCTTATAAAAATAACATTGTCCTGATTTGTAACAATTAACTATACTAAACAGAAGGATATACTAAAAAGAAATATTCTGATTAATTCCCTACAGATCTCTACTCAAAATTGAAATTTCATTATATCCTATAATGTGCAGTGCTGTTAATATAATTAGTAAATAATAAGGAATATGTTCTTTATTTACAAATCTGATCAAGAATACAGTTTCATTCATTCATATATGGATTATAAATTTGTATTTATTTTTTGATTATTTTTGACACTGTGGATTGAAATGATATATCAGTTGCTGAATGTATACCCAAGTCCACATTAAAATAAAATTTAGGTTTCATGCATTACATTCTTTATGTTTGACTGGGCTGTCTCATATTGTTGGTTCTAAACCAATGTGACATGACAGCACAAGACATGAAGAGCCAGATGATTTCCTGGTAAGGAAAAAAGCAGCTAGACAGGGAAGATTATATGAAACAAATAAAAACTTCAAAAATGCCTCTCCTATTTTTATAATTAAAAAAAATTTATAATTAATTTTTTTAAATTTATCTCAATTACTGATAAATTATAAATTATTTTAAACCTAACTTTTATAGATTTTATTTTCCATTAAACATTCTTATTTGGACATCCATGATTTTCTCTTTAAGGTTTTTAATTGCTAACTAAATGAACTGAACTCTTCGGCATATAGTCTCATTTTGTTATATAGGAATACACAAAATATTAAATATAAAAATAAATGATCTCATAGCATTCAAACAACCATTATTGTCCCTTAGAGATATCAGTGTAATTTCAGTAGTACAGAAAACAAACTAATCACATGTCACTTCATGCTTCAATTTTTGTCTAACCATAAATAAAAACTCAAAGGAGGTAATACTCTTAAAAACTAAATCTAATATTCCAATTACAGAAGCAAAAGATATATTCAAAAACAGTATTATTTTGAATTAGGTAAGGTTAAATACCTCTTCTTGTCAAAATATTCCCATACCACTCAAACTATAATTCTTTCAATACAAGAAGAATAAACTTTATGTTGCTTTTGTGAAAAATCTGTTTGTTTTATTCTGTTATAAACATCATTTGTTTTCCCATAGTGTATTAAAAAATCACAGGGCTTTTTGCAGATCTTTGATAGGTGTGAAATAATTACTTCACAAAAATTAGTTAACTATCTCTACTTTACCAGTAAACATCTGAGATGTTTGCTACCATGAATGTTTCACATAGGAACCTGTCTTAAGTGTGAAGAGAGTTGTTGGTTCCTTGGTGCAATTCTGGGCATTCAGTATGCTTTTCAAAGAGTTACTCACAATATATAGCAGTTAAGTGTAAACACTGTACATGTGCTAATTCATGCAGTCAAGATATGAATCATACAGTATAAAAATAGTTTATTATTGGTGTGAGATGGTAAATCAGTTTCTGTCTTAGAGAAAAGCAAAGCAAATATTCAAGATAGCATTTGAGTACTGAAATATCAAGCATATCTAATCATTCAAAATAACTAAGCACGTAAAATAAAGAGAAACAATTATAACAAAGGTGTTAGCACAGTGTCTAATGTACATTTTTTAATTCAATTTGATAAAGACTGCTTCAAACTTAGGTTAAGTTGAAAACTAAGTCATTGACTTTAACACACATCTAGTCTTTTTTGTCTTTTGGCTTTAATGTCATCTGAATTGACAACTACAGATACAAAAATCTAAAATTATTCCTAAGTATAAGCTCTCCCTCTTGTGGCTAACAAAATAATTGCAGTTAGTGTTACCAACATTATAGTGAACATTAAAGTGTGTAAAAAATATTTTTAATTCTATCTTCTTGAATAAAGTATTTAAATCATTACTTAAGTGATATTGAAAAAGGCAAGTTGTCATCCCTGAAACTTTTAGCAGGGTTCTAACTAATCCTTTTTACTTATCTAGAGGTATTTTTGAGACTATGCATAGCTTACCCTTCCCACCCTCACCCCAGTTCCCCAACTGTGAGTGTAAACTTAGTTAAGATTTGCTTTAAATACCACACAACAAAAATCCTAGTAATATATAAAGCTGTCTATAAAAATCTTATATAACTACTTAAATATTGAAATGCAACACTAAAGCATCCCAAAACTGAGAACCTTGAAAAATAAAATAGATGAAAGAAAAATAATGATGCCCAAGCATTTCAATCACTTCATCCACATTCTCACACCAACTTGTCAAAGTCAGTAACCTCATTTTACACATGAGGAAACAGGTTCAGGAGTCTACTCCCATCTACCATGTTGCTGTTTACAGCCATCTTTTCCTATCCAGTGTAACGACCAATTGCTGCCCTTTTAGAGTAGGCATTTTTCACATCATCATCGTCATTATCATCTATTTACCAAGCACCTACAATATGTTGACTGCCAACAAAATCCTCTCAGCCCCAGTATAAATCTTCACACCTCTGACTTTTAAATATAATGAAACCTATTCACATCTCAAAAAGGGGGGTACGTGTCCTGCTTACAAAGTAAAACTTATGTGACACTGTATATTCAACTCTTTCATACATAAATACGTATTTTTTATACAAGAAAAATCTACTTAATTAACTGAGTTTCTACTTCTGTCATACATATTTTTCTTTAGCTTTTGAAAATTTACTGAACTATCTGTTCCCCCAGAGGAACTAAAATTAAAATACAGGAGGATTTTCTCAGCCAAGAATTATAGACTTAAAAATGTGTATTTTGACAATTGTGATTCCCCCAAAGAAGTGGGTTTCAAACATTTTTGACTGTAAGGCATAGCAAGCAATCATTTTACACCGCAACCCAAAGAAAATAGGTATGAGAAACCATACTTACCCTTATTATGTATGATACACTCTGGTATGTTCTGTTCTATTTCATATTTTGAAAATGCTTGTCATAACTCACAAGATTTCATGATCACTAAGGAAACACGTAAGAGTTTGATAACACTAACCTAATCCATATTTTCTAAACCAGGGATTTATATTTTAAGAAGTCATTTGTAACATAGTTCCACAATATAAATTTACAGATGACGAGCAAAAGAAGTACAGTAAACTCCACACGTAGGATCTGGTTTAACAACTAAAGCCACCGACTTAAAGCCAACATCAAAACAGGACACTGGCAGGACAATGGCTAAATTTCTGAAAGGGCTATTATTGCTAAACAATGTTTTATACAGTGAGTACCATATAAAAGACCTCCAGTAATTAAAAGGTTCACTTTGTCTAAGGGAGACAATATAGTACCTCATTTGCCTGATGATGAAGGAAATACAAAAGACAAATGTTCCAAAAAAGGTAGTTTCCCAAATAACTGAAAAATAATCCTTAAAAATATCTAATCCTTTAGTTAATGGTTTTTGGAAACAGTCCTCTAATATAGTAAACTTAATTTATCACCTAAATTGTCCCACTTAAAAGCAGATGAAATAACTTATAAAGATTAATAAAACACTGGAATATAAACTAGAAATAAGTATAAATGATGAGGTGAAAAAAAACGAAACAAAATGCAGTAGGGGAATGAGGCTAACATAAAAATGCATAATATAAAGTTTACCAAAAGGAAGCTACAAATGTGGTTGTAATTTTCTAGTGACTAACCAGAAGAGGGAAACCTAATCAGTTTTGCAGTTCATACTGCCTACATAAGATAAATACAAATCAATTTTCAAAAAACCCCAAGTGTACTTGAGTCCTAAAGGAGCCATTTAGGCCATTTAGGACATGCTATAATTACACAGTTCTTTAACATACCATACCTTTGGTATGGCTTTAATACAAAGTAACCTTTAGATGGAACTTAAGGCAATTCTTTCTAAAACTTTCTCTGAGCTGATCCTCTGACTTGATAGTGAGCTTTAGAGAATTCAAAACTGCACTTTGAAGCCACAATTATATCTTCGCAGCCTCAAAAACTGGCTTTACCTACTTGGGCCCTTCAAACTCCCCCAAATTCTGGCATAGAGATTCTTCACTATACTGTTAATCATTTCATGCCTTCAGACATTTTTGGGGGGTGCCAGCTTTCCGAGACACTCTCAGTGGAAGTTATCCAAATTATGTAAGCCCCCATGAATGATAGCATAAGTCCCATTCTATATCATGTGCTTCTAATATACTATCTATATAGCCCCTTAATTTGATCTACTCGGATTCTAACCCTACTTTCAAAAATGATTTGAAGTGGCATATAAAAATGACAAATATAGCAAAAGTAACAAGAGGAAACCTAGGCTGACAGGAGAAAACTCTGACAAAAGATAATTTTAAGAAATAGTTTATGTGGACATTGTACTAAACACATTGTTTAAAAAATAAAAAAACTTCCTTGGAATCTTAGATAAAATTTGAAGGCATAATTGAAGTACTGTTCAAACAGCAGAGTTAGATGCAAAGAAACTGTATGGCCAGATCACAAAACTTAAAATATTTACTGCTGGTACTTTATAGAAGTTTGCCAACCTCCAATCTCCGATCTCAAATTGTTTTCCTTAATTGATCTTGATCATTTCTCTCAAGCAGGTTTTTGATAAGAATAGGTCTGAAACAATTCACATTATTTACTTAGGTCAGTAAAGTCAAATGATCAAACAATGAAGTCAAGTCAGTATTTCTTATTGGATGGAAGGTATCCACGGCTATCCTAACGTAGTACCAACAAAAATTATTACATAATTTAAAACACAGAACTTTTGAGTTAAGTAAAAATAATAGGTATTTGAGAAAAAGAGCTGAGTAGATGAACTCTGATAGCTACTTTTGTTCTTATCCTAAGAGGGAATAATTTTCTTGAAATTCACACTATCCCAAGATTATAGGGTGGTCTGTGTTTGCCCTTAAGACAAAAGGATATTACTGTATATAGAAATGACTAATTCTTTTTTTTTTATTCGGCATATTATGGGGGTACAGATTTTAAGGTTTCAATAAATGCCCATTTCCCCCCCCTCCCCCAAAAGTCTGAGTCTCCATCATGACCATCCCCCGATGGTGCACATCTCACTCATGCTATGTATGTATATGCCGCCCTCCCTCCCCACCTGCCCAATACCCTATTACTTAGTACCTATGTGACACTTAGGTGCTGTTCAGTTAATACCAATTGCTGGTGATATATGTGGTGCTTGTTCTTTCCATTCTGGAAACTTCACTTAATAGTATGGTTCCAGCTCTAACCAGGAAAATATAAGATGTGCTTGTCACCATTGTTTTTAGAGTGATAGTCACCTCATGGTATACTTATACCCACCCATTTTATTTAATCCATTCTTGGCTTGATGGCACTTGGGCTTGTTTCACAGCTTCGCAATTATGAATTGTGCTTGCTATAAACATTCGAGTGCGTGTCTTTTTTTTTTTTTTTTTTTTTTTTGAGACAGAATCTCGCTTTGTTGCCAGGTAGAGTGAGTGCCGTGGGCGTCAGCCTAGCTTCACGACCTCAAACTCCTGGGCTGAGTGATCCTTCTGCCTCAAGCCTCCGGGTAGTGGATACAGGCATGCGCACCGATGCCGGCCTAATTTTTTTATTATCTATCAGTGCAAGTAATTCTTCTTATTTGTAGTAGAGACAGGTCGCTCTTGCCAGGCTGCTTTGGAACTCCTGACTTGAGCAATCCGCCCGCCTCGGCCTCCCAAGGATGCTAGGAACAGGCAGGTGTCTTTTTGTAGAGATGTCACTGGATTTTTGGTAGATGCCAGCAAGGTTGCTGGATCAAATGGGTAGAATCATTTGTATCGCTTTAAGATATCTCCATATTGCTTTCCCCAGAGTTGAACTTGTTTGCTGTCCCACCAGCAGTGTAGAGTGTTTCCTCTCTCTTCCGCAACCACGCCAGCATTTATTGTTTGGAGATTTTTGATAAAGGCATCTCCTATGGTTAAGTTATATCTCATTGTGGTTTGATTTGCATTTCCCTGATGATTAGAGATGTTGAGCATTCTTCATATGTTTGGCCATTCTTCTGTCTCTTTAGAAAAGTTTCTGTTCAAGTCCTTGCCCACTTTTTAATGGGTTGATTTTTCTCCTGATTTTCGTGAGTTCTAAGTATATTCTAGTATACAGTCCCTTATCGGATGCATAGGATGCAAAATTTTCTCCATTCTGTAGGTTGCTCTGTTTACTTCATGACTATTTTTTGGCTGTGCAGAGCTTGTAGTTTGATCATGTCCCATTTTTTATTTTGTTGCTGCTGTGATTGCCTTCTGGGGACTTCTTCATAACTCTTTGCCCAGGCGATGTCTAGGAGGCATGTTTCCAACTTTTCCGTATGTGCTAAAGTATTTCGAGGGTAGCTTTAGGGCGTGAGTTGGTTTTTGTGAGAGGTGAAAGGTGTGGGTCCTGTTTTAGCCTTCTACAGGTGGCTAGAAATGACTAATTTTTCATGTAAAAAATCAGGGTTTATTACAGAATACTTCCATATAGCTTAGTTCCCTAAAATCATATCTAATACTGAACATTCAGAAATTCCATTTAAGGCATCCCAATGTGCACCTTTCTACCAAAGTTCAAGCCTATTGTTGATTAAGTAATAGTTAATTTTTTTTATAAATATATTGTGATCAGAAGTCACATTCAGTATCCAAATAGTATCCATTCATTTCATTTTAAAAGTTAAATCATAACAGAAATCTAGGTACCTACACAAAGTGACCTGTGGAAGAAATCGTGTATTATTTCAATGTTCAGGAATGTTCATACCTTGAAATGCTTAGTCTTTGGAGATCTCTGCTTTTCAGATTGTCTTCTTGATATGGATCCTTCATTTGGAGAAAAAAGTTTAAAAGTTGTAATTTTTGCATTTTATTTTGTCTCACTTCTTTATTACCAGAGACATATTTTAGCTTTTAGAGACTACATCTATAATTATATAGCATAAAATGAGATTTCACATTCAATTTTAATGAAATTAACTCCAATCTACACAAAATATTTTTAATCACTTCCAATTATTTAAAGCATTAATACTTTGACTTCCTTTAAAAAATAAAATTGTTCTAATAAAATATATTTCTGAGAACACCGATCTAAAGTCTATATTCAAAAAAGTATAACAAATTTATCACATTACTACTGTTTTTTCAAGGTATTGCTGAATGAATTCCATGGGAAAATGGAAGTTTTTTGGTATTTTTCTTTTTCGTACTATTATAAAAAAGTATCAGAACTTTAACAAGTTACTGTTTTAAAAGATCAGCATATAAATATCCTCCTTCCACGTAGATACAAAATGACCTGGCAAAGAAAACATGAAGTCCCTTTAAAGTTTTAGGGGTTTATTTATGTTGTAGATATTCAGACAACACTGTAACACTCTTGTTTGCAATTCATTCTCATTTAAAAGTATGTAACAAATGAAAATAACTATTACAGGTAATAATTCTACTGGCAGAAGTGGTCACTATAAGCTGAAAGAACAAAATTTAATTTTATTATCTCTTATTTACATAACCTAAATTATATGTCTTAAAGTGGAATATTAAAAAGGTGCACAAGGACTTCATGAGTATTCTGAACTTTGGAGCATAAAAATCAAAATTGCTTCATCTTATAGGAATTAAAGCATTTTTTGATCTCTGATTTTAATATTGTAGAAATTAAACTACATCTTAGGGAGCCCTATGGAGAGGGGAAACAACTGGCTCATGAGTCAGGGGGGGTTGACTACTTATAAGACACATATCTTTGGACATTCTTCTTTCCCGAAAGACATTCTTCTTTCTATAAAGAATGAAAGAATCAGACCAGATCGCTTTTAGTTTCTTAGTATCATTAATTTAAAAAATGTTTAATTAGTGTATACTTAAACATAAATGTTCATTGAAAAACTTCCTCATTTTTAAAGCCAATGATATAAAAAATTCTGATAGTTTGGGTGGGAAAATATTTTTCCAGTTACCATCTAATTCAGAAAATCTAATATAAATCAGCAATAAGCTCAAATGGATTATCTCTAATATTCAAAGTCCCTGTTTCTGGCCAGTAATCAGTTTGCCATTCTAAAGGCTGTAATGGGTCTGTTTCCCAACCAGTGCAATATGATGTGGGAGTTTCACATAAACAGTGACCCATGGCTACAAAATCTTGGGAAACAATGTTCAAGGTATACAGGTTCCTATACAACAGAACTTCTCAGAACTTTTAATGCACTATAGCATATTGTGAATCTTTAAATAGGCTATTATTAAGGACCTTAGATATCTTCTAAACCAACTCCATTTTACTGACCCAATGTTTCTTATATTTCTTTGGCCTCAGAATCTGTATTTCTCACAGGATCAACTGTTCTGACTGTACATAGCTGTTAATAGGAATACTAGGGGGATACAGCAAGTCTAAAAGGCTCATAATGGAACTGCCCCTGGAACCTAACACAAAACACTAGTTAACTGAATTCACTAACTAAATACTTCACAAAAACCAAAAACATACTATTATGTCCATGTACGATGCTATTACATACTTCAGAAGGTATCATAAAATATGCTTCACAGAAAGTACCATCTTAAAAATATTTATAAATATGGGTAGAGTAATGCAAGCATAAATTTCTCTCCCTGACTTACTTTCAGATTCCCATATCCAAGAGGATTCCAATCAACAGTGCTTCTGAAACAAGATTTAAAAGTACACATCCCACGACACCAAGATTTCAACTTGGAACCCTCGATTAATTGGTATTTCTACGCTTCCTTTTCCTGGTTCATTTTTTTATATTAGTTGTGAGCAGTTTTTACTTCACAGCCTCACTCCACCCCTAATAAAATGCCTGTGAAGATGGGGACCATGTTTTAAATATTTTTTTCAATATTTCTCCCTTCAACTCTTAAAAGTTTCTTGTCTCTCTTAATTTCATCATCAGTTAAAGAAAAATGATATCTAAAGTTTCTTTGTCTTCTAAAAGAAAGTTTCTGTGATTGCTTGTTTATAGATGAATGATGATAGATGAATTTAAATTTATAGATGATAGATGAATTTAAACTAAAAGCAAATTCATTCTCTAGCACCATCTAGTGGAAAAGAGTAACTAATGAATTAAGAACCAAAATTTGAACCACACATATAAACACAAATACCTTTCTCGATTACGCTAATTAAGTTTTTTTAAAATGCACTCATTTACTGAATATACTATTTACTGGGCACTACGCTAACTGCTTTACATACCCTAATTTAACATTCATGAAAAAATATGTATTTAATGTATACTTTACAGAAAACAGAAAAAGTTTCAAAAAGTTAAGTGACATTCCTAATGTTACTCAGTTAATAAGCAACACCATAATTATTATCCAAGTTTCTATGACTCCATGGTACTGCTTTCTACTCTACAATGAAACATCCATTATTTGGATATCTAATAATTTGATAAAAGTTATCTAATTATTTCAAGTAGAATGTATACATTGACAATTATAATTCAGAGCTCCAAGGTGATCTTTTCTTCAAGCACATCTTCTTTAAAAGAGGCTTCTCAGTGGCTATGGCAACTGAGTTTGTGGAAATGGATGCTGAAAGGCTCTAAAGGGACTGTATTGTGTGGCCACAAGTTCAAATCTGGGAAGATCAACTTCAAATGTCAAGTAGGAAAAAAACTCATTTTGACTCTTGCAGGAATTGACAGTAATTTTTGTACTGTTCCCCCTTTATCAGGACTGAGCTCCAAAGCAAGTTCTCATTGCCCAGTTCACAGTAACGCAATTGGTCAAGGCCAAGGCAGAATGCTATATTATCTCAATACCTGGCTCATTCTTTTTCGTGGTCATCTCTCATAAAGAATACATTATAAAAGAGAGAATTGTCAGCTTCATCTAAGGACACTTGAGATTCAGGGCAAAATCTGGCTGGCAGTCAGGAAGTATGGGAGAGGAGATCCTCTTTCAGGCAGTAGCATCCCAGAGGAACAGGGAATAAGAAATAGTTCCTCAAGATTGTTGGAATGCTCTGGTAGGCAAAATGGTTGAGCTGAGAAAACAATTATATAACTGGTTTACCCCTTAGTCTGAAATACATGAATGCCTAAAATGGCTATTTCCTCTACACTACTAAGCTTTTCAATTTCTTGTAACAACTATTTTTTTTCCTTGTAACAACTATTTTAAAGTATGCATTTGGTGCATTGCTCTCACACTCCCTGCTTTGTATCATTTCCTCTTTTATCCTTAGCACTGTCATGACATCAGAAAACATATATATAAGCTTGTTAGAATCCAAGGTATTAGTAAACAGATTCTTGGTAAGGACATGAGAAGCAGATTGTGTTTTAGATGATGACTTCAGGCTAACCATATTTCAGCAATGCAGCAGGTTTTTGTGCTTATTTTTTTTCCCCAATTCTTAAATTCTCAGCTCTTTGCCAAAAGTTGTCCCCAAAGTATTAGTCTTCTGAAATTAGGTGGGCTCTGTAAAGTTTTCTTTGTTATTATTGGTTTTTCTTAAAAAAAGAAATTCTAAAAATCAAGTTGTCTCTTATGATGTCTAAATTAATCAATTAAGTTAAAGAAAATGGGAAACTTAAAATCTGAGAATTCTCTTTAAAGTTTAAGGGAAAAAAGATAAGGAAACTAAAGGAAAGGGAATTTGAAAGAACAGCTACAATAAATAAACTAATATGCTTTTAAAAATAAACCTTTTTAAAAGACAAAATTATATAATCCTGGGATCAAACTAAAAGTATATGGTGTGTCAAATTTTAGCAGAAATGATTAAAAAGGAAGATAAACACATATTTTTCAAAGAACAGAATATTACCTCAATAGTTATGATTTATGTTAACACTACGGTTTAACACATACTTAGTTATAAATCCTACAAATAATGCACAAAGAATACTGAATTTCTCAATGTAATAATTCTGTAGTACCGTTTGTTTGGCTTTTTGTAGTTCTATTTTGAGATCACTACATTCTTTCCTCATCAGTTCCAGCTCTTGTTCCAAACCATGGATTTTCAAGTCACAGCTCAACTTTTCCACCTCCCAGTTTGATGAAGGTGGATTTAAATTCCTCATCACTACAAAAAGGATAGATATCAAAATTATTATCTTTGCTTTCTACATTGATTGCAATTCTTAAAAAGTTATGCTGGTAAAATGTAGATAAAAGAAAAACTAATATAAAACATGAAAAGCAATAGTTTTTTAAAAATAGTAATTACTTCCAAAGTCTATGCTAATGATAATAAAAAAATCTAGCAATCTTGTTTTACAATATATTAATCACCTAATTTCTCAGTTTCTATATAAGTGAAAGTTCTAATTTGTCATTCTGCTTTTAAAAGATGCTACGCTAAAATCAAGCATACACTAAAATTGCAGACAGATCAATAATCTGTTTTATAAAAGTCAAGGTTTAGACTGTGATAAAAAGAAAAAGCTAAATAAACTGAGGTTTAGCTAATCATTCCATCAAGTCTCAAAGTATACACTTTGATCAACAAACCTATAACATGATCTCAAAATAATTTTATTCATAAACATGACACTATAGAAATTCAATTTAACTGGATACTACTTTATCCTTGATTTAGTACTGCAGTCTATCTACAAAAAGCCCCAACTAGCTACCACAAGAGATCTTATCTCAATCTCTCAAAAGGTCTCTCAGAAGCTTACTCTTCTTCAGCTTATCTAATCAGAATGTTCATGGGAACAGGCTGTTATCCACATCCTCCAGACCTATCTGTGGACTCCAACATGTCATCTCTACCTTTTAACAACCTACAGACAGAAAAGCAAAGTAATTCTAACTATTCCATGATAGTATGTCTAACTGTGGACAAGATGTTCAGTAAGAAGGAAAAGCCAGGACATATCAGTGGAGTAGAAGTTTTGACTTCTACTGCAAATAATTCTGGGTTCTACTCCTTCGCTCCTCTACTTCATCACAAATGAACCCTGAATAAAAACCATCAAATTTTCTCACAGACAATTTACAGCTAAGAAAAAGTTAAAAGGAGTTGACACTGTGTGAGAGCAGAACAGAAATTAACATAAGCCTAAAAATTAAAAAAGTTAAGGCTTTAGCCTTTTCTATAACAGATATAGAAAACTGATGATAGATATAAAACGTAAATGGAAAAATGTATTAATTCTGTTAGAATATTTATAACAAGCAAGTGGCATACCCTGCTGAGTTTCCACCTCTGTCCTTAGCTGGAGGAGTTCTACTTCTTTAGACTGTAGCTGTTCATTCAATACTTTCAAAGATTCAGAGTTGTCTTTATTCTAGTTAAGCAGGGAAAATGCCAAATTACATTCAATAAAATCTGTAGTTTGGTATTATATCTTAATTTTCAGGTAAACATTGAAAAAACTCACTCTAGCCTTTAAAAGCAAGGTAAGAAAATGAACTCAGTTTCTCACTAATCTTTGTCTTTTTCTAATTGAGGAAATTATTCTTCATTTTAATTCTACCATGTCGTGATTTTTCAAAATAAGTTAGTGGTGTTAGATGTATTTAAGTTCTAAACATCATTACATACTAAGTATTTATATTGTACAAAATAACTTACAAATATTACTAAAAATTTCACTTTTGCTTTGAACATATATATTTTAAAACTGTAATTATTATATTAAATGTAAATATTTAACTTATTTCTAATTTCAAACCTCTTAAAGAAGAAAACTCATTTGCAATATAAAAATTTCACTCTTTTCAAACCAACTTACCATTTTATCTAATTTGCTCTTCAAATTATCTCTATCAATGCAAACCTCTCGATATGCATGATAGGCCTTATTTACTTGTTCTCGTCCCACAGAACTTGCTTCTTCATCTAATCGAGCTCCAATAAGCTAACAGTATGAAATGAAAAGAGAAAGCTCAAAAAGGTATTATGCAGGAAAAAGAAGTCTTCTGATGGCTTATCTTAATTTTTATAACACAGGGATAACGCCTAGACTATAATTAGGTGAATATTTCATTTTCATGCAATAAATCTTTACTGATTAAGAAACTAAAAAGATTATGAGTATTTTTAAAAGTCTTCTATTCTATGCTTTTACTTATCAGTATTTTAAACTTCATGGTATTTGTTTTATAACATGAAGCATCACAACTACAATAGAGTACACCATTCTTTTAAAGTGGTTAGGTATTTTCCTAGTCAGTAGTATCTAATTTCCATATTGGAAAAAGTATCAAGTTAAGGCAAAATTGACTTTTTAAGGAATAAATGTGTTAGTTCATTAAATCCTGTATTTTTCCAGAATAGGTATTAATAACACTGTTGGTCCCCAAGTACAGAAATATTTCGTATGTTAACCATACACTAAATCCCATTTTTTTACTGAACTTTTAAATATTAACTATGAGCTCCAAAATGTTATCTTCTCTCACTCTATCCCAGTATGTTACAAATTTACTTAATTGACCCTAAATTTAAAAAATCATATGAATGTGAAGAAATTAGGATTATTTTTACAATTGACTCCTCCTCCTTTTACCTCCCCCAAATGAATCAAACTTGACCAAATCCCATCCTTAAGTTTTTCTATACAAGATCATTCATTTCCTTTGTGCTTACAATCCACTTCTTTTACCCTTTGTGAAAACTGCTGTTTGTAAGATATGTATACATAGATCTAATGTGAAGAAATACAAACAAATTAAAACCTTAACATTCAAAAATAAATGGATGGTTGAAGACAACTTCCCAATACACAAAGCCAAGAAGATCTGGTGATTATATTGAATCAGCTACCTTATTCATATATTCTGTAGCATTTAGGTATGTCAGTACTGTGCGTGAAAAGGTAAACAGAAAACATTAATTTATCAGTTAAAAGCATAATTCCTATTATGTTAAAGAATAAAAGACAATGTTGAGTAAAGAAGATTTCATTACTAGTGAAGACATTATTAAACATATTAGAACAATATCCCAGAAGCTTCCTCCTTTGATATTTAATTTCCTTTGTTGGCACATTTTTTTTTTTTGCACAAATTTGAAAATTCTGAATAAAATACATACAGCTATGAAGGTAAGGCAATCTGAAAAAATTTAACTCCTCCAAGTTGTTAAATCCTCTTCTACAAATATTCACCAAACCCATGGTATGTGTTTTGAGATTAGCAGTGAGTTATCTTTGGAAATTTATTACCACCATGGAAGACAGAAAGGAAAATATTTAAAATTTGAAGTATTCTTTATTTTATAAACCATAATGATGGTAGAAGATAAAATTACCTTTTCTTCCAAAAATCTTATTCTTTTCTTTAATAAAGAGTTCTCTTTTTCTGAATCCTTAAGACGTTTTTTGATGTCTTCATATGCAGTAACAAGGGCAAAATGGGAAGCAACAGACTCATCTCCTGAATATATTGAAATTGGAGTCACTGTATCTCTCCTGTGGGCTTTTTCATGATTCAGAATGCAGATATCATCTTCTACCAGTGCATCCATGACAGCTATTATTTAAAAAGAAAAAAAAATTGTATACAAATATCTCATTGAATAAATGAGCAGAAAAAAATATATTTAGAATAATGTGTATACTGGCACAATGTTTAAAAACTGCTTTTTCTTTCAGAGGCAGTATAGCATAGTGGTTAAAAGAATAGACTCTGGAAACAGATTGCCTGGGTTCTAATCCAAGCTCTACTATTTAGCATCTGTGTGATTTTGGGCAAGTTGCTTAATCTTTCTGCCTCAGTTTCCTTATTTACAAAGCATGGAAAATAATAGCAAATACTTCACAGAGTCTTAAGAATATTAAATAAATTGCTATCTATAAAGCAACCATAATCTATTAATAATAATCTAATCATAATAATAGATTAGAACCATAATCTATTAGTAAGTTCTATAAAAATCTATGAAATATCATTGATTAAAATGATCAAAATTTTTAAACATTTTATACTCATGTATTTCTTCCTCATTTCCATTAGATTAGTAGCAAGTTTTATAGCTTCCCAAATTATAAATTTTCAAAAATTATTTGAGCACAGTTCATTACAATATATTACAGAAGTTTTAATACCTACTTTACTATATTCTTTCCATACCACTAATTGGTTCTATGTGTCGTGTATTCACAATAGAAAAGAAACAAACTGACATTTGAGTGCCCACTATGTCACAGTACCATGTACTATATTCTTTTAATATTATATCATTTAATCATCCAAACAATTCTATGAGGTAGGTCTCATCTACATTTTATAGATAGGCCTTAAAAACATTAAGTATCTTCCCCAGTACAATCTAGAACATTACCTGTATCTACTTTGCTCATCACTGTGCCCCCAACTTACCACTGTATAGAAGTTGCTCAATAAATATTGAATGAAGAGTAGACAGATTAGGATTAAAATTAAACTCTGACTCCAAAATCTAAGACGCCAGTTACTTTTATTATCTAATGAAAAATATATTTGCTCTGTATATCTACCTTTGTTTTTAAGTTCAGCACTACTTCTCTAACTCAGAGTTGTGTTTCTGAAAAACACAATGGAAGGAGAGATTGTGGCTGATATCTTTTAAGACCTTATGGGAAAAACAAGGTAAGAGGAGACTACAGGTCACCTAAGAGAACCTAAAAATTCCTTTTAAATATTTTTTTAGTTTAAAATAAAACACTAAATATAGCATTCTAAATAAAGACTATCAATGGATTTCATTATCTTAGTAATTAATGTCACCAGAAAAAATTTTTTTGCTACTCCCAGCTTAAAATAAAATATGCTTATTTGGTAGTATCAGTCACTGTTCAACATTACAGATGAAGAAACTGAAGTAGAAGGAATTTAAGTATTTTTTCCCAAAGTAACGGAGTAAGTGGAGAGTTGAGATGTAAACATAGGCAACTTAACTACAGAATCCATGTTTCACTATGCGTGCTTTTCTCCAAAATGTCTGATCTCCTTCCCTGTGTCTATTAATAATGCCTATAAAGTTTGTTTTGTTTTATTTCAGACCACATGAATACTAACAAAAGGTTTTGTTTGTGTTCTTCTGGTTGTGGTCTTCTATCATTGTATTTTTACTTTTCTATAATAATTATAACTACAAATTTCTAATTGCTCTCAACCAAAGCCAGAGTTTGGAAAGTCTAAGTAATTCATGTCTATCTAGGATTAAAGGAAAAGTAGGCAAAAATAAATGTGCATATTACAAGTCTCTTTTTTTTTTTTGAGACAGAGTCTCACTCTGTGGCCCGGGCTAGAGTGTCCTGGTGTCAGCCTAGCTCACAGCAACCTCAAACTCCTGGGCTCAAGCAATCCTCCTGCCTCAGCCTCCTAAGTAGCTGGGACTACAGGCATGTACCACCATGCCTGGCTAGTTTTTTCTATTTTTAGTTAGCTAATTAATTTCTATTTTTAGTACAGACAGGGTCTCATTCTTGCTCAGGCTGGTCTCAAACTCCTGACCGTGAGTGATCCTCTGACCTCGGCCTCCCAGAGTGCTAGGATTACAGGCGTGAGCCACCACGCCCGGCCACAAGTCTTGAGTAAATAGGTGAAACCTGCCATCTAATCAATTTTCACCAACATCAACTTAACATTTAACTACATAGAACAAGTCCTGTTCTTAAGTTAGAATCTTTCTCAGTTTATGACTGAAGTCCCAAAACAAGAATGGACTATGAGTCAGCAGTCTGCAACCTTTTTGGCACCAGGGACCATTTCATGGAAGACAATTTTTCTGTGGACTGAGGTTGGGAGAGTGGGATGTCATGGGCAGGGGGAAGGTGGTGCAGAGCTCAGGCGGTGATGCATAGCCCACTTCCTAACAGGCCATGGACCAGTATTGGGCCATGGACCAGTATTGGGCCAAGGCCCAGGGGTTTGGGACCGCAAGATTTCATTATCTATTGTATACCAAAAAAGTGGCAGATTCTCATAACCATAATTAACTGCTTCTGACGCAAGCTGTACTTTCTCCTAATGATAAAGAATTTAAGATTTCTTCCTCTACAGAGAAAATTTTTCCATCTCTGGATACAACTCTAACTCAAAATAATAGCAAACATAATTCCAATCATGCTGCTTATAATCGAAACCCTCATTACTTCCTTGCTAAAGGAAAGTATGAACTGAAAGTATGCATATATATCTCCATATAAAACTCTTACACAAATACACACACAATATCTTAAAAGTAGAACAAGTACAATAAAGCGTAGATGGTTAAGTGGTAAGATGCAGTCTAATTTGAGAGGTAAAACTGTGCCAATAGTAGACATCTGATTTAAGTAACTTAAACAAATGGGCAAGATTTATTTTACTTGAATGATTTTTTTTTCTAAGGACACCTGAGAATAAGAAATAAACATAAACTGCCCTACAAAGTCAAAACAGATGCCCCACAGTTTGTGTACTTTAAGGATCAGAGCCTATATACTTTTGCTTTACACAAATGTCTAGCCAGCTCAGCTCTATGATTTCCTTATTTGTTCATTTATCATAATTTTTTTTTATCATGGAATAATCATTTACTCTGCAAGGAAAACCAAGTATGACAAACAGTTGTGCAGAAAATAATTATTATGCTATAAAGGTAGGTGATATATTTGAAACAATACAGAATGCTATGGGGATAAGGGATGGGGAAGAGAAGTGCTTTCAAAGACAATACCACAAAAAAAATCAAATGACTCTTAAGCCTGTACTCTAAAGTGAAGAGGATGGTTATTTTCACTGTACTGTACTTATTGTACTTAAACATTTATGGTCTGCTAACTTCCAGCAGAGAGAGTCAGTTCAAAGACCTGAGTGTAAGGTAAAGGGTTAAGAAGGGGAGAAGCAGGAGATGAAATTAGATAAATAGGATGGAAACAAACTGAGAAGATTCTTTATGATAGAGAGACTATTGATTCTGGTTCTTATTCTGTGGGATATTAAAAAGGTAGACCTGGACATAATTAAAAAATTATGAGTATGAAGAATACTTACACACATTTATTAAATTTATTTAATTTATTAAAAAAAATTCACAACCAAATGAACTACTTAGCTTTGTGCTAAATGTTTATAAATATTAACCCATTGAATTTTCATGACTACCCTATAAGGTAGAACATCTCATTTAACCCATTTCACAGATGAGAAATCTGGGACCTAGAAAGGTCATGAAGCTTAGCCAGGATTAGTATATAGCAGAACAGTATGTAGCAGAAGCACCTGGATTTCAGAGACTAAGCTATCACTATTTTTACTATTACTATTTTTCCCTCCCTAATGAATCTTTTACAAAACCTTACATTCATCAAGAACTACAAAACTAGGAACCCCTCAGAAGGTTTCTAAATACTTTAGAAGGAAGTGGGTGTACATTTTATACAATAATGTCACATTTTATACAAGATTTTTTAGAAAGACATTTTTAGAAAGACAAAATGAGTAGACTCATTTATAATTAAGACTGTAAGTATTTTATATATTTTTATCTATTGCCTTTATTATTTACAAATCATCAAAAAGGTGCATATGTATAGTCTCTCTCTAAATATAAAAAAAATTATCAGCATAAAAAAGATTTTTCAAGTTTTATACCATTATTCTATGTATGTATTCTACGTTCTATAAACACTACTTGGAACACACTAGAAAGCAGCATGAAAATTGCTTATCTATGGTAAAATTTATGTTAAAAATAGTCATATATTAAAGCATAACTAAGAGAAAATAAATCCACTGGCACCACAGATATACATCAGGTTTTATTATGTTTTAAAATAACTGTCATTTAAATTTGTTATAAAACAGAAAATGAGAATTTTGATTTCTATCCCTATAAAAATAAATATGAAATCACAAGTATCAGAATATTAATACTTACCATATTACTCTGTACAAACCAGACCTCTGGAGATTAAAAGCTGTAGGGCCAGGGAAAATGAGATCTTAGAAAGAAACCAAATAATACAAGGTGGATATCACATTATATTTATTACTATATGAAAGGAATACTTTTAGCAAACTGACAAAGGAGACTATGTATAGTCTTTGTTTTTACTGCTTATGCAAGCATCCTTCATCATTCTTCAAATTTATTTCTATAGAGACATAAAGGGAGCTGCAGTAGTCTGCCTCACAATAAAGATTTAGTTTTACACATTTTTGTTGCACTGAAATATCTCTTTGTCTGTATCCAAATCAGCTGGTCCAGGAAGTTTGATTTTCTGGTTAAATGTTAAAAGTATAACCTGGCTATTAAGATACTTAAACTAGACCAAGCTAGTTATAACATTTAACACTTAAGGAAACTTACCTATATTATATCTAATCTTATTTACCATAATTTAAATTTTCTTAAAATAATAAACCTTTGTTTACATTAATCTTTCAGAAAATGAGTACGATGAGAATATCATTACCAAAAATGAGAGTCACCAAAAGATTAGACAATATTTTAAATAGTCTTGCAATTGAAAACATTCACTTTCAAAACTTAACAAATGACAAAACACTGTCCCAAAACAAGCTTAATCAATAAAAAGCACAAAAATCAATCATAGATGCATTCCACAAGGACATACCAACATTCCAAGAGGCTGGAGATGACCTACTAGGGCAGTGTTTGACAAAGTAAGGTTTGGACTACTGCTTTAGAATTGCTTGGAGTTCTATTAAAAATGTGATTGCTAGGCTCCACTGCAGATCTATACAAATAAGAATATCTGGGTTGAAAATCACAAACTGCACTTTCAGTAAGTACCCTAGGTGATTTTAAGTTTCATTCCAATTTAAGAACCACAAATTTAAAGAGAACAGAGGTAAGTCACTACTACATGATTTACAAAATTCTAAGTATAACTACTATTCTTGAACATTTGTAGGCATAGGTAGTTTTATGTTATGATTTGGTAAACATTCCTAACTTTTACATGAACTTTTTTTTTAATATTATATAGAAAGTAATCTCTGTTTATCCTCATCTCATTGCAATAATATTGGAGGGTTATATATAGCATATTTATAGGCAAATATATCTATATGTAGTCATGCAATTATTTTATGTATTTGGCAATTAAATTTTGTTTCTTCTTAGAGGTTTACTTAATTATAAATTAGAAGAGAATTAGAAAGGATTGAGGTAAAAGATGTTGACAATTATTGTTAAAAACTGAATTTCCCAAGAATGATAAAGGAGAAAGAAGGGCACAATTTATCAAATAAGGTGAGAAGAAAAGAGAAGCTTGGGCAAATACAGGGGGGAAAAAACGATTTAAACATTATTAACTAGGATTATTTTAGATCTTAAATTTCAGTTTTTGCTATGAACAACACTGAGTGGACACTCAGTTTTTTATGTTACAGATACAGGGGTTTGGGATAGTAGAAAACATATCTTCTGACACCAGAGTGGTCTATTTTTAAGACTAAATATGATTATCCTGTCATATTTCATCATCATATCTACTATTTATTGATCATTTACCATATGCCAAGCACTAATGCTTTTACGTGCATTTTTCTACTTTTAAGGTAGGTATTATCATCTTAATTTATTAACGAAGTCTTAGAAAAGTTAAATATCTTACCTATATTGACATAACTAATCAGTGTCAAAACTAGGATGTATACCTAGATAAGCTGCCCTTTAAATCTACATTTCTAATATGATATTCTGAGAGGCAACACAAAATGGATTCTGATTTTCCTAATAAGAATCTGGACAGGCAGAACTCTATGGGAGAGAGAATACTGGCCCAGGATTCAGAAACCCAGATTCTAGTCTAGGACCTGCCACCCTGATTACAGATTAGTTCACTTTATCTCTCTAGATCTAAATTTTCCAATGTATAAAATGACAAGGTTAGACTACATAACTAAGATGCCACCTTCCTAAATTGTAAAGGCAAAAGTTTAATCCAAATACAGAATGGCAACCTACACAATTATTCACATTTATGCCAGGAACTGAGCAAAAGGTACAGTACACGTATCACCTAAAGTCCACACCAAACTTGTCAAGAAAGGTATTATCACTGCCAAATATGAGGAAATAGAAGTTCAGAGATAAGGTAAATTTGCCTATAATCACACCAGCAGTATGTGACAGAACTTAGGACAGAACCCAGGTTTATATTAGGGGTTCTATAATCACACTAGCAGTATCTGACAGAACTTGGGACAGAACTCAGGTTTACATTAGGCTCTTTCCTCCATTCTACATTGCCTCCTGAAGTTAATCTTATTTAGAACCTCTGAGAAAGCTAGGATATTCCTGAACCCACTTCGAACAATCAGTCATGGAGCAAGGATTAAGTCTTACATAGGATGGATACACCAACACTTACTCCTCTTTTCCTATTTGTAAGGAAATAATCAGGGGCAGAAATGGCCTAACTAGTTTTATAAAGGAATCATCAAGTGCCTCTTTTCAAGATACTATGGGATAATCTATATACCTTGGCAATCAAATGCCCTATAATTCAGTGTGTCCAAAAACGTACTCAGCAGCAGATATACAATACAAAAAACTCCACTTTTGTTTTTATGACCCTCACTGAATTATCCTACTAACTGCATTAGTCCAGAAATCAGTTTATATGACCAGGGAATCCTAAGACTTTTTCAGGGATAGCATAAGTATGAAGAGAAGTCTACTTCTTTTCATTCCTTTCATAAAGTAGTACATCTCAATGAAAATGAGCACCTGTTATAGATTAAATGTTACCAGTGTTATCAATAATTATTTTCTGACAGTGATAAGACAACCATAATTTGATTCAGAATATAAGTGCATAAAAAAGAAAATAGTAAGTCACGCTGGTTCTATTACCTCATAGATTATAAAAAATGTCACATCATTTTACTTACTAATCATGACAATGTTCTGTGTTGGTAATTAATAGTAACTAAGTATTTATGGTATACCAGGCAGTGTGCTTCACCTTTAGGGAAACTATCTCATTTGTTCTTCATAAGAATTCATTAAATCTATGTAACACCTAGCAGGTGGGTAAGAATCTCCCCATATGATGGGAAATGAGACATGCGACCCTTAGAAAGTGAATGAAAATCAGGCAGTTGACTGCAGAGCAAGGATAACTCTTAGAAATTATGCTTTGGTGCCTTGAAGAGTAAGTATTTCCACAATTTTAGAGATAGGGAAAATGAGGAAGAAGTTTAGCCTCTTACCCAACGTAAATGGAAAATTCAACACTCAGATACTGGTGTTCTTGCCTAACCCAGTACCATTTCACATTACACTATGCTGTCTCTTTAATATTTGAACTTAACATTTGCATATGACATCACATTAAAAATTTTTAACCATTCTGTAAAGGATGCACCATTCCCAATTTACAGGAATGACCACAACAGGTTGGGCAATTCGATATGGCGTTTTTAGAAAACCGAAACTTAAATTATGCCTTGAGATCTAGCTCAATCCAATTTAAAATTCCAATAATTTCAAAAGAAAACGTTTTCTGTGCTTAAGGAGCAAAGGTCAATTTTAATCCTGGTACATCTATTATCTCTGATCACTTTAGCATATTTCCAGTACGTCCTGGAGCAATTTACGTTTTGATCTGTATTACAGTTTCCATGTGTATTTTATCTCACTTTCGAGTATTGGAGTTTCTTGTGTGTAGGAACGAGGGTGTTGGTTTACCTTGCATGTCATCACTCAACAAATAACTGAAAACCGGAATGAATACTGTATTCAGGTTAGACACACTGGAGAAACGACGAATACCTACTGTTGGTCCTCAATTAAAGTACAGAGGGTCGTTATTCACTGCTCGGATGCTCCAGGCAGTACCGTCCTAGCCACAGGTCCCTCTTTCCTTTCCGATATAAAGCCATCTCAATGAATGGGGGAAAAAGTCTCCCAACATCTGAAGGCGCCCCAGTAAATGAGAACACGGTAGGAAAATGAACAATAGAGGGAGAAGGAAAGTGAAAGACCAAGAAGGGCCTGGAACAGCTAGGGTGTGGAGGTGACAGGACCAAGGGATGCCCAGGGGTGGGCCGCTCCCTAGAGGAGGAAGCGCGGGAGGGGGTGAGAGAAAAATGACGTGTCTCTTCACACGAGTAACAGCGGCAAAGGTTGGTCCCGGGATTGCCCGCACCCCCATCTTCGTCTCGGCCCCAGCGAGTCACTCACCCCGAAGCCAGGCTATGTAGGGCCGCCCCCAAGGCCGCCGAGTTTCGATTCCCTAGTGTTTGGAAACGGACCGAAACAACCCAGGTCGCCAGGGGTCACCACGGGCTTCCGGTTTCCTCGAAGACACCGCCGCTTCCCCACCGAAGGCAGTCGCACCAGGTGCGCCGCGGAGGGAGTCCCATTTCTTCTGCCTTGGCTACGCCAGGCCCGGCGCAGCCCTGTCCTTCGGCAGTGGCCTTGGAGGTTCTGGAAGGAGGGGCGAGCACAGGCAGGGGGCCGAGCAGCCGCGGGAGAAGGCCCGTTACCCGGCAACGCGCGCGCGAGACCCAGGCCCTCCGGCGCTGGCCGGCCTCGTCAGGACCCACACGGCCCGGCGGCCGCGACGCGCGCCGTGGAGGGGAAGCGCTGTGGAGGGGGGCTGGGAGGGTGGACCCGCAGCTCACCACCGGAAAAGGGGCTGCCGCTGTCCGCGGGCTGGGCGCCAGGGCCGCGCGAGGAAACCGGAAGTCAGGCCCGAGGGAGCCGTGAGGTTGTTCGGGAAGCTGGGCGGCTGCGAGGGGGCAGGCGGGGCTGGTCAGGGGACAGCGTACTACGTGTCCCGTGAGCCTCCGCGGCAGGGCGGGGCCGTGGCGACGCGAGGAGGCGGAGGCGGAGTGTTGTTGGGTAAGAGCGTTACCCCTGCTTCGGCGGTCGGTGCGAGGGCCGCCTCCAGAGGCGCCCTCTAGCGCGTCCTTTTCGCCCGGTGTCCACTTGTGGGTCCCCCTGAGCGTGTGGTACAAACTTGCTTGGCTTAGCGTTGTCGCCTAGTGGCTGGGAACTGGGAGGCCTGTTAGATGCGCGGCTGGGGGAAGCCCTTTGACCCCCGCTAGGTAGCGTCTTTACCTGGCGCGCTGCGAACTCTCGGGCGATCATTTGAGGCGCAAACTCGGGCCAGTAGCTCAGGGTTCCATAGTTAACTCACAAACTGAAACGCGAGTTCCAGCACACTGCTCAGTTTACGGGATGTAAGACAGAGGTTGGCAAAGCTTTGGGCTTGTACTTGGCTTCGTTAGAGTTGCCACCACCCTTGGTTGTGTCTCTGCAGTCCCCAACCTTCTGGCACCAGGGACCCGTTTCATGGACAGTTTTTCCAGGGACGGGGGTGGGAGGAGGGGAAGGGGAAGTTCAGGCGGCGATGGGAGCATTGGGAGCGGCTGTAAATACCGATGAAGCTTCCCTAGTTTACCTGATGCTCACCTCCTGCTGTGCTCCCCCACACACACAAGTTGTGTGGACGAGGGTGGGGTGGGCAGAGCTCTGTGGCCGGGTCCCTAAAAGGTTAAGATGGATAGGATTCCCCGGCCCGGGGGTTGGGCAGTGCACTTTGAAGTGGTAGTCCTGGCCTGTGGAGTCAAGAATAGTTGAATTTGTTACAATCTTTGGGGGTTGCAGCCAGACGCGCAGCCTTTGTAGCTCTAGGCTACTACTGGTTCTCAACAAATGAGTAAACGAGAGAGAGCAATAATCACAGGAAATTTATCCTGTTTAACTGCCAGTTAGCAATACTGAGTTCCTCATCACCCGGTTAAAGAAGTATTTTATCAACTTGTGGCTAAAGTATCAGCTCAACTGCCAGTGCAATAGGTATCTGGATTCAGCTCAAGGGTTTACTTGAAAATACATTTATATTGTTGTTAAGCCTCTCTCTCTCTCTCTCTCTCTGTCTCTCTCTCTCGCTCGCTCGCTCTCATTTAGATTTAAGTGAAAATTCACAGCTGTGTTACAAAGACCACAAAGTTACATATTTAAAAAAATATTTAAAAATCTGTATCTGCGTAATAGTTTAAAGAGGAGATTCATTTGCTTCAGTTTATCCGGCTGGAGGATGGAAGAGAGCAGTATTTTTAATACTTTGAGTACAACTCGGTCCTTAACTTTTCAATTGCTTCCATGATGCGCTTTACGAATTCTCAATTTAAAAGCGAACCATCAGACGTGTATGTTTTGGCTAGTGAAGTTTCCAAGAATGTTAACAAAATCAATTGAGGCATCCCAAGGCATCAGAAATAAAGTGATCATCTAGTTTTTAATTTGGAGGTGTAGAAATGTTTTCTATTATTTGAACCTTCATTCACAATTTAGAATAATTTGAGAATTGTTGAAAAGGCAGGGAAATTCATAATTTTTTTCTCTCAGGGCAAATAAACAGATAATGGCATAGCTTAGTATTTTGAAGTTTATTTGGTAAGAGAGTCTATTTTTATTTTAAAATATACACCTCTCGATTATAACTATTTAAAAATGGGTTTGGTAACAAAGTATTTTTTGACCAGAATGTATGTTTTATTATTTTAATTTTTCCTTTTTGATTATTGAACCCCTGCTAGGTTATAATGAAATATAATCCAGATATTCATTGCATTGAGCTGAAAATAGTCACTTTCTGCCCACTTAGATACATCTGCTTGAATTAACTTTAGCAAATAAAATAAATTGTTAGAGAAGGTTTGTCTCACAGCTTAGTTATAATCATGTGTTTTGTTACAAGCTTGCTGCAGAAGAAAAGACCTCTACTAAATCAATTAAAAGATAGGGTCTTAGGGACATTTTATAGGAAAAAAGGATGGTTAGATAATCGTCATGAAACTGGATAACAGAAAAAAAATTGGGGGTCTTAACTAATAACTTAATGTTAACTGGTAGCCAGCTGGTTAGGTGAGTGGTTGGTTTTCCAGAGCATCGTTAGTCCATTGAAGTTTATTAGAAGATTGCATAGGCATTTTTTTCCCAAGAGAGATTTGTCAATTACATTATGCAAAAAGTTCTTTCCCAGGCCAAGTTTGGGACAGTATCTTTTCTTTTCTTTTAAACCATTGTTACATTTTCTGTGGCTACAAATGTAGCCTGACATTTTCAAAACAATTCACTGTTTAAAAAAATATATAGTTGTTACAGAATGGCCATTTTGGACTGAGTTGAACACACTCCCCACCAGGTACCTTTCTAAGGGTCCTGCTTACAGGTTGTTATGAATAAAAAATAAAGATATATTACAAAAGCTCCTTCTCCATCTTTTGCCACCTCTCCCAACCCTCTCACTAAGGTTCGGATGTTCTGGATCTAGGACAGGGCTCCTGAAGGATATGATGTTGACTGCAGTAGTTCCCTTTTTCACCAGGGTAGGTTGGATTAAGGCAATGCTTGAACAAAGAATGTGAGCCCTGGCACAACTCATAACTGTGGTTCAGCCTGTTTCTCTTATTTGTAGGCAATCCTGCATCTTTGGAGTGACTTCAAATCTTATTTATGTTTAATTAGGCAGCATGTAAAAACAATGAAAATTTCTTTTTAAAAAAGTGTGAAGTCTATTTCTGAGCTATGAAGAATATTTACAATAAAAATGTAATTTTTGAGGACAAGTTTTGAAGTGAATTCAGGTTAGTGATTTAAACTGTATATTAATTTAATTTGATTAAAATCATATCACCCTAGGGGTTGTGTTTTCTGTTTCAGTGTTCTGTATTCTGAGTACTTTGTTCTGGTAGACCCTGGATAGATGTGGCTCTTTATTGTCAGCAAAACAGAACTTACGGTATTAAAACCACTAAGTTGAAATAGCAGTGTCTGTCTTTTCATATTAATATCAGTTTTAATGTCATTTCATCAGTTGTTTTAGAAGCATTCTTCCTGTCTTCTTGCATATCACATGTCCAGGGTAAGATCTTCAGGGTAAGGGAACTGTCTCAGTGGCAGAGATAAATGCAGATTCAAGAATATTACCAAAAATGAAAAATCTGGTATCTGGGCATATGAAGTCTTTCTTCCCTCTTTCCCTCATACCCCGCCCTCCTTGGAGAATGCTGAACTAGACAGCTTTCTGCCTTCCTCTTTTCTGACTCTCACTCTACAGATAAAGCAATACCATTACTATCACCTACATCCTGATAGTGGTTAGAAAGTGAATGACTCTAATGATGAGGCAGTTAATTTTGCAAAATTGGCGTTTTTCAGTTGTTTTTGAAAATGTTGCAGAAGGACCACATTGAGTTATCAGGTGATCATTAAGAATAATTTTTAATGATATACCCCTATATGACTTTTGGTATGTAATTCAGGAATTTAAAAAAATGATTATTGATGTAACCAGAAATATTTCTACTCTCAAATATTTGGAATGGGTGAATACAAAATGTAAAAATAGAATTAGCCTGAACCTTGTTTCTTCCTAGTAATAAGTAATATTCATTTCTGGATACATGACCTTATTGGGGATGACTGTGGAAAGTTCCTGTCCATTTATTTATGACATACATTTCCAATAAAAGCTTTCTTTTGATATTTTATAATCATTATAATTGGTTATATATTGCTATTGATCAATAATGTTCTAGTAATTTAATAATCAGTTTAAACTATATGTACCTATAAAGAAAATAAACTTCTTTTTCCTATATAAAATGAGAAGAGAGAAAGAAATAATTATATTTTGAAGTTTTCATCTACATTATAAAAACCAATAAGACAAAGCCAGCTTTTCAGAGGAAAGGTATTTTATAAAGATACAAAAAATATGATAACGAAGGATGACATTAAATTTCAGTAATATCTTTAAAAAAAAATTAAGCTACATTTTTCAGAGAAGTTATGTAGCAAGGAGAATGAAATTTTCCAAACCCATTGTGCAACTCACACAATATAAAAGTTAGATTTTTGAGTTGGTGTAATGGTTAATGTTATGTATCATCTGGTCTGTGTGCAGAACAGGGTGCCCAGATACTTGTTTAAACATCATTTCTATGGTGTCTTTAAGACTATTTTGGGATGAGATTAGTATTTGAATTAGTAGAACTGAGTAAAGCAAACTTATGGGTGAGCATCTTCCTATGCCTGAAGGCCTGATTAGAACCAAAAGGTGGAGGGAGAATTTACTCTCTCTTTGAATATTTGAGCTGGGACATCAGTCTTCTTCTGCCCTTTCACTGGTATTTAAGCCATTTGCTCTCCTGATTTTTAAACCTTTGGCCTTAAACTGAATTATACCACCAACTCTCCTGAATCTCCTGCTTACGGATTAGAGATTACAGGACTTAGCCTCCATTACATGAGCCATTCTCTCTCTCTTTCTCTCTCTCTATATATATCTATGTCTCCGTCCCATTGGTTCTGCTTCCCTCTAAAACCCTAACTAATACACTTTGTACTAATTACAAAACTAGACATAATTTCTGAGAGTAGAGATTTTGAATTATCTATGAATAAGTAAGTACTCAATTGATTCTTAAAAGTCCCCCCAAAAGTGTGTTTTTGATTTAGTCACTGAAATTATTAATCATTTTCTCCTGACAGTCATTCTGTACCATTCCTTTTTGGCTTTAGTAATTCCCTCCCCCTCACCCCATAATCAAATTGTTCACCCAGTTTTATGGATTCTTATGGGTTATACTCCTTAGCTATCTGAACTATTACAATAGTTTAGTTTCCAATCTCTGTTTTTAAAATTATTTTTGCTTCCAACTTATTCTTTATATTCACTTCAAACTAGTCTTTAAATACTATAAAATCATTATGCTTCTGTTAAACTCCTGAAGTAACTCCTTAACATTTTTGAAAGGACCTTCTTACTTTAGCTTAACCTGTTTTCCACCACTCTTATACACTGCCAACTCAGGCACTGAAATTGGATATCTGTAGGCATTTATAAGGTTTTCATTCAGGTTACCCTGATTATTTTTTTACAGTATTTAATTTCATAGGCTACCATTGATATTTTAAAAATAATTTTAAAATTCTCAGAAAATTGAAGAATCCCAGAAAAATTCTCTGACCTCAGTTTGAGAATTATGGATCTAGCTCTTACATGTTTGTCCTTAATGAAAACATGTTTGCAAGGAAATCCTACATGTCTGAGTAAGAAATATAATCAGAATACATTGAGTCATAATTTTTTTTGGAATATATACCAGTAAGGTATCATCACTATCTCAACATGAAATGTTGCCTTATAGAATTCAAAGCCACATATTCCTTTTGTGCTTGGACAAAAACAGCTTTTCTCCAAAGACCATCCAAAACTAACGTCAGATTGTTCTCTGAAATATTTTTAATAAAATAGGATTGTTACCTAAATATTATGGTCAAAAGTTGCAAGAAGAATTCTTACCTCATTTCCCCACCCACCAATCCTTTTTCTGGAATAATCCAAATTTTCTATTTGAAAAATGTTTCCTTTTGTTTTTCTGACTATTCAACGTTTTTATTGTCTCAAATGAGAAATGTTCAGATACGTAAACTAGATAAGTTTAAGGGTGAAAGAAAAGACAACTATTACTGCCTAGAAATACTTAACTATACATTGAGAAAACCATTGATATGTTGAGTATAATAACTATGGTCACTGCTCAAAACTAAATAATAGAGTTTCAGAAGCCAGATTATCCTTTTACTAGTATTATTTTTCAGTTTTTATTCTTAGTACTGTTTAAATGGAAATGGCCGGATCTACAATCCACATCTCTTCGTATTTTGAGAATTTATTTATTTATTTTTGAGACAGAGTCTCACTTTGTTGCCCAGGCTAGAGTGAGTGCCGTGTAGTCAGCCTAACTCACAGCAACCTCAAACTCCTGGGCTGAAGCAATCCTGCTGCTTCAGCCTCCTGAGTAGCTGGGACTGCAGGCATGTGCCACCATTCCCGGCTAATTTTTTCTATGTATTTTTAGTTAGCCAATTAATTTCTTTCTATTTATAGTAGAGATGGGGTCTTGCTCTTGCTCAGGCTGGTTTCGAACTCAGGCAGTCCACCCACCTCGACCTCCCAGAGTGCTAGGATTACAGGTGTGAGCCACCGCGCCCAGCCTGCATTTATTGATTTGAGTATATTGAGGCATCCTGGCATCCCTGGAATGCTGACTCCCACTTGATCATGGCGAATGATCTTTTTAATGTGTGGTTGAATTTGGTTTGCTGTTTTTTTGCTGAGCACTTTTGCATTTATGTTTATCAGTGATATTGACCTGTAGTTTTCTTTTTATGTTGTATCCTTGCTTGGCTTTGCTATCAGGGTAATGCTGACCTCATAGAATGAGTTTTGGAAGTATTCTCTCTTCATTTGTTAAATATTTTGAGTTAAATTGGTATTCATTTTCTTTAAATTTTTGGTGCAGTTCAGCTGTGAAACCATTAGGTCCTGGGCTTTTTTTTTTTTTAATGAAAGACTTATTATTGCTTTGATCTCATTACTTGTTATTGATCTGTTCAGGTTTTCTTGTTTCTTCATGATTCAATCTCGGTAGATTTTATATATCTAGATAGTTATTTTCTTGTAGGTTTTCTAATTTATTGGCATATACTTCATAATAGTCTCAAATTATCCTTTGTATTTCTTTGATATCAGTTGATATATATTCATTTCTGAATCATTTATTTGGGTCTTAGCTAAAGGGTTGCCAATTTTGTTTATCTTTTCAGAAAATCAACTTTGCATTTTGTTGATCTTTTGTGTTGTTTTTTAGTCTCAATTTAATTTATTTCTCCTGCGATCTTTATTGTTTCTTTCCTTCTATTAATTTTGCATTTGGTTTATTCTTTTCTAGTTTTTTATGGTGCATTATTAGGTGGTTTATTTGATGTCTTTTTACTTTTTTGATATAGGCATTTATTGCTATAAACTTCCCTCTTAGTACTGCTTTTTCTGTACCCAAAGATTTTTGGTATGTTGTCCTTCCATTTTCATTTGTTCCAAGAAATGTTTAATTTCTTTCTTAACTTCTTCATTGGCCCATTGATTATTCAGTAGCCTATTGTGTAATTTACATGTGTTTGTGTAGTTTCAAAGTTTCGTCTTGTTATTTATTTCAAATTTTTATTCCATTGTAGTCAGAAAATATGCTTGTTATGATTTTAACTTTTTTGAATTTTTTGAGACTTGTTTTGTGTCCTAACATATGGTCTATTCTGGAGAATGGTCCTTGTGCTGGTAAGAAGCATGTGTGTTTTGCAGCAGTTGAATGAAATGTTCTGCAATTCTCCATTCTATTTGGTCTCTTAAGTAATTTAACTCTGGTATTTCTTTGTTGATTTTACATCTGGATGATCTGTCTATTACTGAGAATGGAATGTTGAAATCCCTACTATTTTTGTATTGCAATCTATTTCTCCCTTTAGATCTGTTAATATTTGCTGTCTATGATTGGGTACTCTGGCATTGGGGGCATATATATTTATAATTGTTATATACTCTTGCTGAATTGACTCCTTTATCATTATATAGTGACATTCTTTGTCTCTTTTGACAGTCATTGACTTGTAGTCTATTTTATCTGATTAAGTACAGCTACTCCTGTTCTTTTTTGTTTCAGTTAGTATGGGATATCTTTTTCCATCTCTTCACTTTAGTCTGTGTGTATCAGTGAATTATGTTTCTTGAAGGTGGCATATG